TATATATATATATTGTAAGAAGGGAAGTGCAGGAATTCTACAGTACAGAAAACAGCGGAGAAAAATTTTTAAGAATACCTTTTTATAAATATTTTATTACATTTAACTGTGAACCACATTTTAAGATCTACAAGTGTGAAGCTAATTCCCTTTTATTGTCAAAAGGAAATCTTTCTCAGATAAAACCAAAAAGTCAACTGACGCAATATGGAAACTTACAGTGACATTTTTTCTTAATGCTAGTGGAGTGTGACTAAGTCCCTTGTACTGCGGCCACTTCTGGCCTATACAGTCACATACTAGGTTTTGCAAATAAATGGTTAGTTTCTGCTTGTAGGATCCAACATTTTCCCTCTCAGAAAAAAAAACATTTAAAGAATTAGCCATTGACCTTTTTGAGCAGCCTTAACTATCAAGAAATCATCACCTGTCACTCCTTGGGTTCGGTTGTATTGCAGTATTTTAACTGTAGAGTGTTTACTTCTCACTACAAATGTGTTAATATGACATATGATTATGTTTACAGGTATCACAGCTAAGTACTCTAATCACATTATTGCTTGGTGAACTCACTAAACAAGACAGGCAGAAAATAATGACCATCTGCACCATAGATGTACATTCCCGTGATGTAGTGTACAAGTTCATACAGAACAAAATAGAAAGTGCTTCAGCATTTCAGTGGCAGTCTCAGTTAAGACACAGGTAACACTGACTTCCACTGCCATGTTTTTAAAGCAGTAATTCATATGTCTAGTCACCTAACATGAAAATTTAGAATTCCAAAGTAACTGAAACTTGCACATCGTAAAGAAACAAAACAAGGGAAGGAAAGTGAGAGGATTAAATTTCATCACGGATGTAGATACATGCAGGACTTGTTAATTTTAACTGTCCATAGCTGAAACCAGCTTATAATAAGAAATTAGAGATAAAAGGCTTAATAAAAGGATTAGTATCTAAAAATGAACTTCCTGGTATTAGAACCCACAGGTTCACTACCAATTAAAATCCTTCTCTATTCAGAGCCACTTTAATCCAGCCCACATTGTACACCTTTTTTATGATTATTTTTTTTAATTGTATCATACTAGCTTTTTCTCAGGATTCCAATTATTTACACTTTGTCATTTTTCCTGGTGTTTCATTTTGAAATTTTTTCAAGATGTGTTGCAAAAAGTTATTATCAAATTTATTAGAATATTAACTTGTCATAGTGTCTTGCACGCAAAGAAATTACATCAATATCCCCCATGTAAGATGCATGCCAGTAATACTACTTTAAATAACATTTTCTGATAATGTGCTGCAACCCACAAATTTATGTCTCATTGCATAATACTTTATCATAATCATCATAACATTACTGTAGAATTCCAAAATAGTATAGGGCATACCAAATTTATTTGGCTGACATCCTTTCATTTCATTTAAAGTTTTAATCTTCTTCCTTTTGCCCTCTTAGATGAACAGATTTTATTCGTCCAATTTTTCCATCTTTTTATGACCTCAGTGATAGACCCCAGTACAGCTTGTTTATTGTCACTTTTTATTAGCCTCTGTACACAGTTTTACACTTTTACTTCCAATTTCACTGCCGTCCCCCTTTACACTTTTACATTAATTTGTGCTTTAATGTTATGCCATTTTCGTATTATTATAAAAGTGGAATTTTATGAAAGTGCAGGTAACTTTAAACTTTGACATGCCTCTTAACCTAAACACAACAAAGGTTTAAACTTATCCACAGTAAATTGAGATACAGCATAATCAATTCAAATGGACTACTGCTATGAATTGTAAGGTATGATGGGTCAGGGAATTAAAATAATTTTGTCTGCCATCTGCAGGATACAAAGCAATTATTGTAATATGTTAATGGTGTTAAGGTCATATGATTATCTAACAATGGCTGTACTGTAAACTGTCAGGATATATATCCTTTCTGTGTACAGGTGGGATGAGAAGGAACGCGATTGTTTTGCAAATATTTGTGACGCCCAGTTCCGCTATAGTTACGAATACCTGGGTAACACACCACGTCTGGTCATCACTCCTCTTACTGACAGATGCTACATCACGCTTACACAGGTCTGAAATCACACCACTGTAGTTTTTGACATACTGAAGTGAAATGATTTATGAGAATGAATACAGAGGGATCAGTATACATATCCATGTATTGCACTGAATATTAGTATTGTGTCACTTAAATACATTCTATAAACAAGGTAATTATCTCAACATCTTTGGTGTCTGATGATATCAGCAAAAATAAAGCAAATAGGCATCTCAGCAGTGGGAATTACGAACTGTAATAGAACTGTAAGATGATATTTGTTTTCCTAAATTCAACTGAACATGGATGTGGTTATAGATCTACATCATGAATTTCATGGCTTTCCTTAACACAGATCATCTTGTTCTTGAGTAGGTGATAATGCCATTTTCAACTAGCATTGATGGAAGTAAATAATGAAAAAAAGATTTAAGTCATGTTCAGAGAGACAGAAAATGGCAAGAACCCTAAGGCAGCCCATAGACGCACGAGTCTGGTTCAGCGAGCAGCCAAGCTCGGATTAATTTCACCACACATGTATAAGTGTGGCGACCCATACACGGACAAGTTTGGTTCATTGGTATCTGAGCCAATTCGGACTCGCCAGCCAGACTCGTATGTGTATGGACCCCTAATACTTGACTAACAACAGAATTCCTAGACTGCTAATTTTATTTTGCTGAAGCAGTACGAACAAAAGATATTGTAGCGTGTTTATGTTACAGAATACGCCGTAGTGATCATTAATTGGTTTATTGAACAGTCTACAAATATCGGCTACAATTAATTATCACAATGTGACGGGTTTCCACAGTTTACAAACCCTACTACAAAATCTCTTAACACTATCTTCAAGAGTCTTCACGTATTAATAACGCGGGAGCTATACAAGTCTTCCTGAATTACACACTCCAGATATAACTGGTTATCACTGGTTATCGCACACGCATCTGTAGCTCGTAACTTGCGAACCGAGAACTCGTTGATAACGCACTCGGCGACTATCACATTACAACTGACTCGTAGCTGCTGTGCAGTTCCCTTATATAGCCGCAGTGGTGCCTGTTGCCACGTCACAGTAGGAAGCGGTGACGCGTCCATGTTTGCGTATATCCTAGCAACGCTGTTACCCCTTGGTGACGTCACCGCTGTTGACTCGCGTTGCATAGCGACCAGGTTGCGGGGACTCGGCTAACGTCGGCTCCGCTCATGACGTCACCGGAGGGAGAGTGTGGGGTGATGACTCGCCTGTTACGCGAGCGCTACATTACAGCTACGTGCCGCTGGGGAGGTAGGGGTCAACTTGTCACAATATGTTAGTCTTCTGTGCGTGTGTGCCATGGTAAGTTATACTCTGCCCTTTGTATAACAATATTTGGGATCTTAACAGTGGTTAACGTTATTCATTTTGTTTTATCCTGGTTTATGATACCTTGCTGTCTTATAGATGACTAACAAAATTTCAGGGGATTATACTGAAACATTTATAATGTTTAGGGAGCAGTTAATGCCTGATGGTCAGTATCCACCTAAGATCATGATACCACTGCACGTGCTGACTTGCTCCTTACACTGCCAACAGCATATATTCCTTAATGTCTGTACAAATGTTAGCACTACACATTTTTATGGCTTACAGCGAGACGCTCAACTGCTATTTCAGGAATTCTAAAACCCTCTTATGAAGACAGTCATTCTGAAATCATATAGCCTACAACATGGGCTGGATAGTCCATGAACAATCCAAAAGCAAACAGGTGTGTGTGTGTGTGTGTATGTGTGTGCATGTCATGCCTGCATATGTGTGTGAAGTCAAGAAGTATCCAGAATGAGATATGTCAAGTCGGGTCAAGTGATGCTATAGCCTTCATCTTCGGATTTCCACTTCTAGCATGAATGTAGAAGCAGTATATAGGATTTGAGGTTCTCAGATAGTTATAAAGAGTACTATCTTCTGGGATATAACACTATATACTCTGTCAAAAGTTAACTGACACTTCAGAGAAACAAATCGCCTCCTGAAACTGTAGGTGATATGTTGCTCTGAAATGTTGGCTGACTTTCAGTGGACTACCTGTTCTTACATTCCAGAAGATAGTGCTCCTTATAGATGCAGTATGCCCTTCTGTAACGTTTTTACCCAACTACCAGACTACATGCAGTGATATACAATAAACAGAAGAAGTTGAGTGAACATTAACCAAAGTTTCACATATACAGTAAGATGTGGAACACAAAGTCAGATCTACATGGTCGGTAATTCTCTTCATTTATAGTTTATTTAATGACACTGTGTAACTCAGACTCAGCAAACACACAGTGTCATACTCCAGAAGACCAAAATATGCTCCCTGTTTCTTGCCTAATTCTTTCATTTGGAAACAAAAATATGTCTATCTAGCAACCTGAACTATACTTTGATGTATTTGAAAATGATGTGACTAGTGTAAATGTATTTCAGTCTCTACACCTGGTGATGGGTGGAGGTCCAGCAGGCCCAGCAGGTACAGGCAAGACTGAGACGACCAAAGATTTGGGTCGTGCCCTTGGTATCACAGTTTATGTCTTCAACTGCTCTGAACAGATGGATTACAAGGTGATGTAGATGTATAGTACTATTAGCTTTAAAGCAAAGTTACAATGTTTTATCAAAGAAAACTTTGAAGAAAAACAAAGTTCTATGTAAGGACTGTCCTTAACACTTGAAAACCATCAGTGAATGAATGTGTCCTCATAAATCTTTCCCTGATACCATTCACAAAATATAATCCTTGTACTTGTCAGATTTCCGTTATATTTTAAACTATTATTAGCCATGGCTAAACCTTGTTGCATTTGACTGAGGTATTATAGATATTGTAACGTGTCGGCAAACCAGAGGAAGAGACTTCTATGGAAACGCTACAATAGACCGTTACAGAGCTCCCTTCTAAAGGTTGTTCGTCCCCGAACAGCCTAAAGGACTCTTACTCATGGACTCTTACTAATTTAATTATTTTCCATCCATATAACTTATAAGAGAACTATATAAAAATTAAACTTTAGTGCTTCTTAAAGATGAACCATGGGATGTTTGTTACCATTTGATGTTAGAGCAAATTATTAATTGCTTTTAGCCAAGAATTGTCAGTGATAACAATAACAATAAGATATTTTACCTAAAATCATCCCCCCAGCTTCAGGTTCCAGGCCACAGGCATGAAGCTGATTCTGTCTTAAAGCAGAATCTGTAATTATGAGGTCATGTGGACATCTTAGAAATAATGTAGATATATATAGTTTTGTCTAAATACTGAAATAAATGTTTGGCTTTATTTATAGCCCAAACAAAGAAAATTAGAGGCAATATTGTTTGAAAACAGATGTGCAACTTTATTCAGAAAATCGGAAAGGTGTTATTGGTTCTATAAGGAAATCAGTGTAAAAGTAGGTCATCACCAAAGTGGACTATCATGATATAGGGATTTAATGCATTACCCAATAACCATCTGTTTAGAAACTGCTGAGAAGGAGAGGTTAAAATACTGTCTTCTGGTATGTCATGTCATGTAGTCTGGTGGAAGTTCGGTACAGGTATTTCAGAAGAATGTGGTGGCTCCATCATCAGGGTTGAAGGATAAGCTCTGGAAGCAGCCATCGGAATGCTGCTTGCTTCTGGCTGGTAGTGTGCGCATGCGCGTGTTCAGCCTGTATCCTACATCCTTGTCTTGGCAGTGCCTTTCTGTTCACTCACTCCTGGCTTTCCCCCTGGTTTGAATTATTTTCATGTGTCCCTGCCCCTCAGGCTGATTGTTGAGTTCTCATTTCATTATTTAGTATTGTCATTCAATTATTTGGTTATTAGGCCTTAGCCCTGTCATCCAACACAGTGTGGAAGAATGACAATACAGACATCACTGGTGCTGTTTAAATATATATGGGCTTAACTTATGTATCCTGGACTCAATGTTTATGTTGTATTTGTTCTTTAATTACATGTCCCTTGGATCCTATATCTGCAGTATCACTTACTCATTCGTTACTTTGTTCTCCTAAGCCTGGGACACGCACAAGTAGCTGTCAGGAGGACCCAGGGAAATGTAATGGTTTGTTGTCCCATTTTGCCTACCTTCTCCTGCACATTCTTTCAAAAACAGTCTTCTGAATTAAGTATATAATGTAACGTGTTATAAGTCATCCATCGCTGAGTAACGAAAAGAATGGAAATTGTTGAGTTCCCAAACCAGAAATCAAATACCAACAGACTGTTGCATAGGAATACCCGTAAGAATGAGTGTTCGTTGCGTAGCAATGCAATAGCAGTGGGTCGTGTAGGAACAGCACAAACAAAAAACGCATTTCTCCAGAAATGAAAGACAACAGAGGGTTCATTGCGTAACAGCGGATGAAACCAAACTGTTGAGAATGGTGTTCTCTGTTGAGTCCATAACCCACCTATATAAAGGGTTGAATGCATTCACTGAGACACTGACAGTTGAAATATAGCAGCCACTGAAGACAGTTGAAGTCTGGAAGTGAGTATAGCAGAAGAAGTAATTGGGACACTGATTTTGTGAATTGTGTAAGTGTGGATAGAAGTGTGCAATAAATTTGCTAGATCCAAGACCGGCATGAAGTTATTTGTCACATCACACAGCCAACACTTGACAATATCTTAGCTTCCACATGGAACTAGAGAACTCCCTCTCTTCTTTCCTCCTCCACTCCTTTATTCTGTTTCTTCTTCTAGCATTGTGCCCATTGTATAAAGGTCAATGGGCCAAAAATTCTTCTATCTCTCTGTTTTGTCTCAGAGCCATTCCATTTCAATTTCTTGTCAGCTGTCTTCCAGCTATGATAATGCTATGTGTGTATGCTGTTCTGCAGTCGTGTGGCAACATTTACAAGGGACTGGCGCAGACAGGGGCCTGGGGCTGTTTTGATGAATTCAATAGGATTACAGTAGAGGTTCTGTCTGTAGTGGCTGTGCAAGTGAAGTCTGTACAGGTAAAATGAGTTGTTAGTGTCTCACACTAGCAGGCTTATAGTTCTTAAGTTATTTAATGACACTGTTTCAAATTCAGTTTTGATAATACATAGACTTAGATTGGTAGGTAATCATGGCTACTGACCAGGTAAGGTTTTCAGAAGAGGTGGTCATGGTCTTTTTGAAACTACTATATAGATCTTTACCTACAGAGACTGAGAGAAGCCACAGATATGATAGTCAATGTCCTTGCCAGGATTAAAACCAGAAACCTCCAAAATACAAGTCAAAAGCATTACTATTACACAAACCCACTCTTTTATTGTAGCTTCACATAATATGTCCTAATAATGATCTTGTCCACGCACATGTTCAATTATGTGTGTGTGCACACACACAGTCACGTGTGTTATATAACAGTTGAACAATTTGGTTACCCACTTCCCTGGGGCAAGTTCATTTGTAATCCATCAAGCAAATATTTACAATAATCATTTGCATTAACAGCCCATAAGCATAAATTTTCTGAAAGAGATGAGGTTATCTGTGATAAACAATTTTTTCTAAAACTTTACTAAAAGAAAGCCTTATTCCTAGCATTGTTGTAACCTACATTGTAATTAATTTAAAATACTTTAATTAATACAGTTCTTATTATAGGTATTCACTGATATAAATTGTTTCTGTTATTTTGTTTAAAATTTGACAAACTCTGTCCATAGAGCTCAGCCCTTCTTGAGAAGCTCCCTATTGTGCAGCCACTCAAGAATTTCCAAAATTTTTATGGAAACTGAAGTTTCGTTACCATGTTCACACGAGTCCTCCACTGGTTGCTATTCTGAGCCAGATCAGTACAAACCATACCATCCCATCCTATCTCTCTAAGACCCATTTTAATATTTTCCATATTTTCTCTGTCTCCCTAATGGTCACTTTCCTTCTGGATTTCCCACCAATATCCTGTATGCATTCCTCTTCGCCCCATACTTGCTACATGCCCTGCCCATTGTCCTTAACTTGATCAATCTAATTACACTGATGATGCCAAAATAAAGAAATACAGGTTTTAATTTCATATTTTTGGTGTTAAATATCATTGCCATAGATTCGTACACAAAATGTTTAAATTCATTTAGTAATAATTTACTGTCATGTACAGTTACAAGTTTGCCATTCGTTAGAGGCTTTTAAGATGATGAACACTGTTACACAATTACATTTTCAACTATTCTCCACTGTGAAAGCACCGGTATAAGAGAGGACTGTGGGTAGTCCTGCTAGTGGTAAATGGGAAAACTGTACATGGTGGGTAAGCATATGCACATCATAAATTTGTTTTCAAATAACTTTATGAAGATCATATATCTGCTTTGATAATGTTGTCACTTAGATGAGAATTCCAGTTACTTGGATACAGGATAACAGATTTACTATATTTACTGTAATTATGTTATTGATTTGAAAATAACATAGTAGTTGATACAGCATTATTAAGAAACCAAGAATGGGATGTATATGGCATTTACTAACAGTAAAAGTATTTGTTGCTTTGTGAATATTTGTATGTCAGTGAAGTGTATATTGTTTATTTTTCTGTTGAAACCAATGCACTGGACATATTTCAGGATGCTATACGAGATAAGAAGACCACTTTCAACTTCATGGGAGAGAACATTGGACTGGTTCCAACAGTAGGCATTTTCATTACAATGAACCCAGGCTATGCAGGTCGCACTGAGCTGCCTGAGAATCTGAAGGCTCTGTTCAGGTAGATCCAGCCTCTCTCTTTGCAGTTCCAGTTGAGACTTCATCTAGTGAGTGAGTGAGTGAGTGAGTGGAGAAGTTTATGTCAATAGGTGACATATTTTTGTAATGTGGCTTTTTCTAACAATACTTCTGTTACTATGGATTTTGAGAAGTTAAGAATTCATGATATCTAAAAGCACTGTGATTAAAAGTTGTATGCCTTAATGAGATATACACCAAAGAAAGATCTGGCAAAAGATTAAAAGGAAATGAAATGTTGGAGAAACTTCTAAAGTAAGAGAAGGATTCTGTTTTATAATACCTCTGCTAGGTCCTTTTAAGTCTGATACTGAAAAAGGTGATGAAGAGTCATGTAACAATATTTTTGCGAGACCCATCTTTGAGAAACTTTATAATTTCATTTTGTTGTAAAACTTGTCCAAACTTAACCAAAATTGAATTCGTCTATTACCTTTTAGTGTAGACTCTCAGTACCACATTTCATCAAAATCCATTTAATTGCTTTTAAATTGAAAAATGTACATTATCATTTCTTTGTGATTTATACAAAGGACACATAAAAATATCTAGCAATTATATGGAAGTAGTTGCACTCAAATTTCAGTTCATTATCAGTGTTAATACTTCAATGCCTTTCTTCTTTAAACATAAGAGGACACAGTAAAATGAGAAGGGTTCTGTCTCGTGTTATGTAGTAAAATGTGATAAAAATCTCATTTTAAACTTAAATACCTTGACAAGAACTAGGCTGATGAAACTACACACTAATCTTTTAAATGGAATGAACACAGGGTTAAATTATGCTTATGTCATGTTAGTTGCCACTTAAACACAGTGGGTCTGTTGCAGGCCATGTGCCATGTGTGTACCAGATTTTGAACTCATTTGTGAGATTATGTTGGTAGCAGAAGGATTTCAAGAGGCTCGTGTCCTAGCACGAAAATTCATCACATTGTACACTTTATGCAAGGAATTACTCTCTAAGCAAGATCATTATGACTGGGGTCTGCGAGCCATCAAGTCTGTGTTGGTTGTAGCTGGCTCTCTCAAGGTAATTAATGGAATTCTGACCTTTTTTGTGCCATATGTTGTATTGGACCTACCTAAACAAAAATTAAACTCATCTAGTAACTTTCAGTGTGGGGCTACGCCATAGCTCAAGCGGTTAGTCGCTGGCTTCCCACCACGGCGGCCCAGGTTCGATCCCGGGGTCTGGTCAAGTGGGATTTGTGGTGGACAAAGTGGCGCTGGGGCAGGTTTTCTCCGAGTACTTCAGTTTCCCCTGCCAATCTTCATTCCACCAGTTGCTCCACAGACACCCTCACCTATCATCTGGGGTTGGTACAGTAGGCCAGAAGTGGCTGCAGTACAAGGGTCTTAGTCCCACCCCACTAGCAATAAAAAAAAAGAACTTTCAATGTACACTTTTAATGCTTCCATGGACCTAGCTTATTATTATTATTGTTGTTGTTATCATTTACAGGCATTTAAATTGTTTTGTACCATTGAAATTGTCTTCACTATAATGAATTGAGTGTGTGATTTGTATATGCCTATCAACTCAGATGCATTAATTTCAGCTGTGTTAACAAGATTGGAAAATGGACAAGTACTGTCTTGTGGCATGTGAGGCCCTGTAATTTGAAAGACAGGTACCAGCAGTTCCTACAAACCTGCTCCCTCCATCAGCCTACAGATGGAGGTAGATGGTTCCTCCAAAATATTGGTACCTATCTATCAAAATTGACTGTCACATTCCAGAAGACAATAAAGTACACTAAGAACTTAAATCTCAAAATAGGTAAAAGTACATTCCAGGAGAGTATGCATTGTTTCCAATTTTGAAAACCTAATTTGCTTTGATGTTAATTTTTTAAGGTAACCCATTTTAATTCAAATATAATCATACTTGTACTGCTGTTACAAAATTGTGTGGAGACAGAAATCGTTTATCTTTGTATTTTGTTAAATTATCTTTACAGTTTATAGATCTTTGGCACTTTGTGTTGGGTGCATTTACTTATTCATTCATTCATTCATTTGCATTCTGTTAATCCATACAAGGTCAAACCAACCTATGGGATATAGAACCTGTCAAGATACAAATATAATATAAACATAAAATAATGATATATACATACATTCATAATGAGCACAATAAGGACATAAAGTAAAACACAGTATTGCATAACAGCAGTGTCACAAAACACATTTCGATCAAAGACACAAAGCAAAACACAGTATTGCACAACAGTGTCACAAAACACAGTTTGAACAAATACACAAGATAATAGTGAAGACAATGAAACATGAATGAATTGAACTTACAGTGGGAAGACCTCCCACAACTAATCAAAATGTACAAAGGGCAAGAAATATAAAAAGAACCATATTCATTAGGAAGTTAATTGGTAATATTCATCAATACTATAGAATGCATGTTCTGTAAGGTAGGTTTTTAATAAAGATTTGAAATGCTTAATATCTTTAGATAGCATTTTAATATTTAATGGTAAGTGGTTATAAATCTTACTTCCAGAAAAGAGTACTCCTTTCTGTACAGATGATAGATTTGTAGAAGGCAAGAGCCTTTCTTTTTTTCTTTCCATTTCTCTCTTTTGTGTTAGTTTCTTGTGCAGTAAGGTTTCTTCTCTTCTCATGCCCTTCTTCTAAGTAGAAAAGGCTTTGAGCTTCATCTAAACTAGGGGTTAATTTATTCACAACATGTAGCATAGACCCTCAACATCATATCTCGTTAAATTCCAATGAATAGTTACAGATATGAAGCATGTAATGAGGAAAAAAACAAAATAGGGATTGAGTAGAGTAGTGAGTAGATATGGCTTTCAACATTCCTCCAATATTTTACCCACATCCCCTTAATGTAATGATATTTGCTAGTGTTTGTTTCCAGAGTTGCAAGATACTTCCAACAATGATGAATAATATTTTACCTGGCAGGGATTTGAGCCCATACCCTGGCAACTAAATGGACATTGATACCAATTGAATAGAGCCAAAATTTTCCTTTGTCATATCTGTTGACATGGCATCAGAATGGAATATAGAATATTTTATATGTATGATACCCATTTCTTTATGACATTTGTTTAGCACATGAGAACTAAGGTTAACATATAAATGAATGAGGAATTATCAGCAAAGGTAAATTCTTCACTTCATAAAAGCAGGAGGTGCAGTTCCAGACCCTATCCATTGTGACAGGTTTTAATTCAAGTTTCATCAGTAAAGTAGAAAGATGTAATGAATGTACCGAAGTTTTTATGATCATTGAGTGTTTAGACTGTGGCCTTCTCTATTACAGGACAGTACAACATTGGATCACAATCTGATCTTATAAGGAACATGCCTTTGTGTAAGATTTGAAGTTCTCACGGCAGTTTTATGAAGAGTTCTGTCTTCTGGAATATAATGCCATGTAATCTATTGAAAGTCAACTGATGTTTCAGAGGAAAATGTCGCCTTCATCTTCAGGGTCAAAGAATAAGCAGAGCAGTAAACCAGCATGAATGCAGATGGCAAGCAGAACTGCAGAGCCACTTACTTTCACACTGGTTTCTGTTTGGCTTATACTATGACCCTGACAGTTTATAAATGAAATAAGAGATGTCCTAATACATAATCCATCATATACTGTTGCTGAATTTTTGCTCTTCTGTCGGGATCAACAGCTAAGGAATAGAAGGGGAGTGCATGCTGACTGATGGATGTCCCACAGTAGGCATTAATATACACATTAAGTGTAAGTGTAAGTTAAGGAAGGAGAATTATTATGTATTGCTAATTATCTTGTTGGTATAATTGTATGTGTAACATTGTATCTATTTATTTGAGGTATTCGGTTTAGATTTTAACTGTGGTTGAATTGATGTCTCTGTGATTTTATCTGTGATTGTCTTGTGACTGTTGTTTGACAAGTTTTATATTCTGTGCCAGTTGCACACTTGTGAATACTCTGAAACGCTGATGTGTGTATATGTATGTAAGATGGAGGCCAGATGTTCCTCCGAAATGTCCGTTTACTTTCAATGGACTACACAGTGTTATATCCCAGAAGACAGAACTCAACATGCCATTTTGAATACAAATTAGTCACTCGGTGATGCATATACAAGATACACCATTATTTGTCATAGCATGCACAGATCTGATGCTTGTCATTTTAAAATTGTTGAGTAGCTGTCACAGTGCATTATACATTTCTGTGTTTATGGTACTGCAACTGGCTGTTGCAGAGAGGTGATCCTGGACGGCCAGAAGAAGAAGTGTTGATGCGTGCGCTTAGAGATTTTAACATCCCTAAGGTTGTGACTGATGATGTCCCAGTGTTCATGGGTCTTATTGGTGACCTATTTCCTGCATTAGACGTGCCAAGAAAGCGAGACCAGGAATTTGAGAGGACTGTGAAACAAGCAGCTATTGACTTATCACTGCAACCTGAAGACAATTTTATATTAAAGGTACATTATTTCTGAATGGAAATAGCACATATTTAATGCTAAGATTATTCAAAATGTGAAATTATTCTCTTTATTCTTTTACTAGAGTGGTGTATGAGGTAGGTCATACTGATTATAACTTCGCAAACATAAAAATTATTGTCACCAGCCAGATTAGTCTGTAGGCAGAGCTCTAGACTTGTATGTTGGAGGTGCTCAGCTCAAATCTCAGCTGGGATTATCCTGACAGAAGTTTTCCATGGTATTCCTCAATTCCTCCACGAAAATGTCAGGATAGTTTGCTCCTTTCAAATCCCTTTCAAATTTATCACTCAACAGCCATGTTACCATCTAATGCTACATAGTCTCAGTACTAAAAGTGTCATTAAATAACTCACAAAAATAGCATTCTCATCTTCTTGTGATGCAGCATGTTTTTACAACAAGACTAGTAGAGGGAACCATGGCAATAAAACCATTGCAGTTGCCTCATTTGGTGTAATCATTATATCTGACAGAGGAAATAATCACTAGCTCTCATTTTAATATATTAGGTTAGGGTTTCATCAAGTCCTCAGTCTTGTCACATGTCACATTTTGAAATAATACGTACATACATTGTGTATTATTGGCTGCTGAAATCTGCTGTCTGTGCTGGCTACAGGTGGTGCAACTGGAAGAACTCCTGGAAGTGCGACACTCTGTCTTTGTTGTGGGAAATGCTGGGACTGGTAAGACACAAGTTTGGAAGACTTTATTCCGAGCCTATCAAAATATGAAGCGCAAACCAGTCTTCAATGACCTGAATCCAAAAGCTGTTACCAATGATGAACTCTTTGGAATCATCAATCCTAATACTCGTGAATGGAAGGATGGTGAGTTTATGTTCTGTATAAGTTATCAGATTTTATTCTTTGTGGTTAATAATATTAATAACTTTTTTTTTTTGGAACAGATCTTATCTCACTGTCATTAGCCACATAAGATATTGATGTCAGCTTATTTGTATCAGTTACTTTTTCACCATACACCTTGGTACTGTTCTGTACCTGTGTCTTGCATTGCACTAACTTGTGAGCCAAAGCACTTTTCGGCTTCACCTTTCTGTTCCTCTTCTAAGCTCAGAATGAAAATAAAACTTTCTGTCTTCTCCTTGCCTTGCAACCATGTTTTTTATGTTATAACTTTGAGAATACTCTTGTGGCTTTGTGAGTGAATGAGGCATGTTTGGAAAAGACTAGATAGAAGGGGCTGGATTTTCAGTATATCTAGAAAGAAGGGCCACACACTTCCTGGCATGTACACACACACAAATACACCCCGTGTATGCGCTCTCAGTTCACACAACATATGATATTTCACTAGATTTGTCCATTGTTGGATTCAAATGCAATTCATTTTAGCATCATGCTATACATTATCCTACTCCAAAGTTTCCAGGCACCAGTGATCCTGGGTTTGTAGAAAGTTTGAATATTTTCAGTTCCAGTAGATGCAGTGTCATAGATAATATTTACTACAGTTCTGATTGATTATATGCAGAGAAATGTTTGAAGTTGCTAGACAGCGTTATATACATCTAGTCTCCTTGAACTGTTCGTTATCCTCATCCTTTCCAGCAGTAAGCCAAGTGATACCTGTTATGTATATTACAAACAGACTCCTTTCACTGTTCAGAGGTCTTCCTGAACATATTTCAGATTCTTATATCAATAAGAGTATTGTTGATAACAAATTCAAATGTTATACTCACAACTGAGAACATTGGCAGTCTTTTGTAAATATGGTAATTAACCTTTGTGTTCCAAAAAAAGACAGGGAATTTCATGAGTAGATGAAGATTGTTAGCTTCTCAAAAATTTACATGGTGTTGGTTGACTTGTTAGTTTATTAGTTTTATTTCTGTGTCCTTGGATAAATTGACATATATAACTTCAGACAGATGTTTTAAAGCTAAGTGTACATCCTTGTATGCCTCAGGTCTCTTCTCTGTAATAATGAGAGATCAAGCAAATCTTGGAGGTGATAATCCAAAATGGATTATTCTGGATGGTGACATTGACCCCATGTGGATTGAATCTCTGAACACAGTCATGGATGATAACAAGGTAAGAATATTGACTCTTTAAAGCACAGTAGTTGCTATATGTACCATATGCTTTAATATAAAAGAAAAAACTCTGAATTTTGGATACAGAGTGAATTTATGGATTTCATATGATTCTGAAAATAAAGAGCGAATATTTCCCAAAACAAAATAAACTACCTGGTCTCTGTAATGGAGCATAATGTGTTGTATGTGAGGTAGTAACTTGAATTTTTAATATTATTTCCATTGAATCTGAATTTGGAAAGGTTAATAACTCCATCCTGAGACAATTAATTTGTTAGAGTAATGTTGTACAGCAAGGAAGCCATGTTTGAGTGCTGTTTTTTTTTGGGGAGGGGGGGGAGGCAAAGGGGTGAGAAAGCCAGGGTATAGCCTGCAGTAAATTTGGAGTATTTGTAAGCTTTGAGTTTGCAAAAATTGATAAAATTATTGTTTCAGCTCCAAGTATATATTCATGTTAGCCGTCTTCAGGGAGTCTGCGCTAGAAAAAGTGATCATAATTGTACCAATATTCCCAGTTTATGAATTACTAAACAGTACCTTCAGTGGTCTCTTGAGGTATCATTTTCAGCTTAAAAAAGTTCAATCTCTATATTGCAGCATCACAACATAAATTACAAATGTCATACGAACTGCTTCTAACAGTCCTTTAAGTTTTGATTAAAACTATATTTATGGTGACCATGACTGGTGTAGCATGAGCACATATAAGAACTTATGAATGCTAGTGGATTTTTGTCATTTTTAATATGGATATACATGTGTAATGTGGCTAATGGAAATTGAGAACTTCATTAGTCATTTTTTATCAGCTCTATGAGATTCTAATTCTGTCTCAACTGATGCCATTTTTGTCCATGTAACTTTTGAATATGTTGTTTCCTCAGATTCTGACCCTTGCCAGCAATGAGAGGATAGCCCTTACTCCTGTAATGAGGCTGCTGTTTGAGATCTCAAACCTGCGTACAGCTACCCCAGCAACCGTGTCTCGGGCTGGAATACTCTACATAAACCCCCAAGATCTTGGATGGAACCCGTGAGCAAACCTCTCTCAAATACAGTATATTGAGAGAAATGTGGATATTAGTACCTAAGAGATAAACTGGAAACAAAACAAAATCTAATGTTATGAAACCAAACAATTCAAATGAAAGTTATGGTCTTCTGAGATGTGGTGCTGTATAGTCTGATAGATAGTTATCAACATTACAGAGGAATCTGCTGGCTTTATCTTCAGGGGAGAAGATGGAAAAAGCAAGGACCTTCATAATACTGGTAACTATATACCAGACTACACGGAATCACATCCCGGAAAACAGTAATCTTCGTAATCTCTGCCATGAGAATCTCAAGTCAAATTATTCAGAAAATATCTCTAAAGTAGTGTCCTTAAATATACAAATTTTTGTTTATTCTTTTGCCATTGAAAATTTGTTGCTTAAATACTAGCAGGAAAAATATATGAACGATTTCCATAGCAGTAATTGATATTTTGAATTATTTCAAACTTAATGCTTACATTTCAGATATGTGTCAAGCTGGCTTGAAACAAGAGTGAATTCTACAGAGAGGTCTAACCTTGTAATGCTTTTTGACAAATACATCCCTTCCTGTCTTGAAAATATGAGAGTACGCTTTAAGAAAATAACTCCTATCACTGAGATGGCGCATATACAAATGTTGTGTCATTTACTTCATTGCCTTCTTACACCAGCAAATACACCTCCAGGTAAGGCAATTATGTGAACATACACTACCCTACTAAGCCTCAGTAAATAATTTGCTGATGTTGAAAATTCATGAAATCATTTTCATTCACTTGATCCTGGTCTAGAGAAGAACCTGCTGCCTCCATCTGCAGCCAGAAGAGTAAGCCAAGCATGTAAATAGATTAAGGAACAGAAGAACTGGGATCAGGGCTATGAGCAAGCCAAAAGGAATAAGAAGAACAATGTAGAGAATATTGGCCCCTTAAGGGCCATTTTCCCAAAGTAGAATGAATGAGAGAATTCATTGTACTGATTATGCCATAGTAGGAGATATGAGAAAGTTAAGTCCTTGCTTACTTTACTACCACAAGATGGAGGCAGGAGACTCCTCCAAAGCTTTAATAGCTAAACTGGAGCACATCACACCTCATCCAAGATGAAAGTAATAATAACAGTCACCACCATGAGAATGTCAAATCTCACAGTATTAAGCTTGTTCTGGTGCACAGAACTTGATATCAGAACCTGGAGGTTCAGTACTGCTAATACCAAAGCTTACTGTTGGACCTCATCCTGTGCTGATTTCCCTCACCTCCTGTCCGCACATTCCGTCCCTAAGATCTGGATGAATGGTTATCATCTCCCTCTTGATCTTCTTTCCAGTCTTCCATGTGGTTGTATTTCAAGAGGTTTCTGTATCAAAATTCTGTATACATTTACTTTCTCCATCCAAGTTTACAATAATATTATTATGTTCTTTATGTACCATAGAATCTTCATCATCTTATGTTGAACACTGTCCCCTGTATGAAGTGTATTTGTTATAAACAGTGTTACTGATGTTGGGTATACTCCTCTCAAGTTATTGGTTGGAATTAAACATTTTTATTTTTTTAATTTTCAACATTAATAGCAAACATTACGAGGATTGGAACTTTAATAATGGCAACTATTTATTTACAACTGATACAAAATAGATGCATGTTTCGAAGTTTTACTGTCCTTCATTTTAGTCACCAGCATTGTGTACAACCCGTTGCCAGCAATGTGGAAGTCCTAGAATACCTTTAGCAGTGCCTGCTGTGTTGTTAGTTCAAATGGAGCGGTCTACTTCCTGAAGAATCTCTGGAACAGTTGTGAAGTGAATGCCACAAAGTGGTTCCTTCATCTTAGGAATCAAGTTGAAGTGACAAGGGCTAAAGTCTGGGGAGTATGGTGAATGGTACAGCACTTCCCAGCCCCATTGTTTGAACAAATCAGCCACAGCTTGCGCTGCATGCAGCATTGATGGGTGGATTTTGCAGAAAGTGTCGCCACTTCTTTCTCAAAGCTGGTTGCAGGTTGTGTTCCAAAAATGAACAGTAATACTGCACATTGACGGTCTGTTGCAGGGAAACGGTATGCGTTAGAATAACACTATCACAGTCATACATGAGAATCACCATAACTTTCACATTGCCAGTTTGTCTTGAAGTAAAGCACCCATTTGAGACTTAAGACTAGATCTTTATTACTGTATGACAGTTGCAGACTTGTTGATGTGGGGCACTCTCTATGATGAGAGGGTGGATCTGTCATTGCCAGAGCAACTGCCGACAGCAAGTTGATCCTATCAATATAGTTTCATCATAGACCACATAGAAAGCGCCGCTTCCAACATTTACTCTATTATTGCTTGTTAATTTGTTGCTGTGGAAACGTTTTTTCCTATGCAATTGTTTAGCAATGGCTGCCTCTGTTGAACTATTTCAGCTTTTGGCCATCATGCCTCAATACTGATGACTAATCACCAGAAGATGGAGTAGAGTGAACTCCTATATCAAATATACCTCAAAGAGTGTACAGTGTTCTGATTGAAGATGGAATTAACAAGTTCATCTGAAGCAATGGTGCCATCTTTCAAACTGCATTATATCATTTGCAAAAAGGCCATAATCTTAATACCCACTGCTGTGAGAACCTCAAATCATAATGGTTAATATAATTATGGCATAATGAAATTGCAATTTTCACAAACTTAGAGGTTAACAATTGAATGTGTACAGTGAGACCAGAAACATATCTCTCATGTTTTATTTTGCTCATGCATAGGAATGGTAATCTTAAATTACGCTGCATTGAAACAAAATGTAATTCCATTCCAGATTGTCCAAAGGAGTGGTATGAAATTTACTTTGTGTTTGCCTGTGTATGGGCATTTGGAGCAGCAATGTTTCAAGACCAGGTACATAGATTTCTTAACTCTCGTGTACACCAGAATGAGCATTTTATTAGTTAGGAATATGAGACTGTGCCATGCCTCAAGTGATTAAGTGCTGGCTAAAGCACAATAGACCACTGTAGGTTGCGGTGCAAGGGCCAAGAAGGCCTGCCCCTCATACATTCATTCATTCAAGTCCTGGCTACTCTCTACTGAACCATGGGTCCAGTCCCTGGTGACTTAATGTATGATTTGTGATGGATTAAGTGGCTCTGGAGCACGGCTTTTTCAGTTTCATCAGTTTTACCCTGCCATTCATCATCCCAGGGTTGTTCAGTACTTATCTATCACTGTCCCACGAGTTATGTGACAGCAGAAACCAGGTAGCGCATTGTCTGATCTTCAGCTTTTTCTAGTCTGGGGCGTCATCTTTTACTAGGCACTGGGCTGATTACAAAGGAAGGAAGTTAATTTATATGAATGTAGTTGATTCACTTGAGATGTTTTTTGAAAGAATGTTTCATGTTTCTTTAGTATATGAATGGTGAATAGCTTTATCAATGCTGTATAATAATTTCTCTTATATGGGGAAGTGCATTCTCCTACACTGACCTGGACTCTGGGTGCCTCTGATGTAGTTCATGTTGTTGTTTATATAGGCCATTGACCACCGTGTGGAATTCACCAAGTGGTGGGTCACTGAGTTCAAGACTGTCAAGTTTCCAGCCCAAGGCACTGTATTTGACTACTATATTGATACAGAAACTAAAGAGTTCTTGCTTTGGACCGAACAGCTTCCTGTCTTCACACTTGATCCAGATATGCCATTGCAGGTACTTGATTCTGAATTTCACATCCCACTCTTTAGATTTGATGCATATGAAGGTGAAAATAATCATCTTTATTATGGTAATGACTTGAAGAGTTCTATATTCTGGGATATAACATCGTGTAATCCACTGAAAGTCAACGGATGTTCTGGAGGAACATGTTTCCTCCATCTTCTTGGGTGCAGAGTACACCAAGCAAAGAACTGGCATGAAGAAGCTAACAAAGCTTTTGCCTTCGAACCTTCAGTGACTCTTAGTGACATACATGATAATATAACCTGGAAGATAGAACTGTTCATAACAAGTGCTGTAAGAACCTCAAATCCTACTACATCACATCATATTTCTTATCATATATGGGCTTATAATTTCTTTTAATGTTTTTATCATATAAACTACTTTGCATAGCTTAGCTCTTAAAAATCAAGCATGGGCACACCATTTTAGGTGTTCTGTGATGTAAATATGCATTAAGTTGAGCCAAATAGGTACATCATCCAGAAGTCAAATGAAAATAGTTCTGATTTTTTGTTCTCAGGCAGCATTGGTCCACACTTCAGAATCTATTAGAGTGCGTTTCTTCTTAGACTTGCTGATGGAACAGAGACATCCAGTGATGCTGGTGGGTAATGCTGGTGTGGGGAAGACAGTATTGGTCTGTGGAAAACTGTCATCATTGTCTGAAAATTATGCAGTTGCCAATGTGCCATTTAATTTCTATACTACATCAGGTACTGTAGAGTTTGGATCATTTTTTATACTCTTAGTGGAACAACTGAACAAGTTCTTAATTTCATTTAAATCTAGCTCAAGTTTTAAATAAGTTCTAACATTTCAGAAATGCTACAGAAGATTTTGGAGAAGCCACTAGAGAAGAAAGCAGGCAGGAATTATGGTCCACCTGGTAACAAGACTCTTGTGTACTTCATTGATGACATGAATATGCCAGAGGTATGTTTACTAAACCTCGGCATGAATGAGTACTAATGAATTATTTTTATAGAATTTTAAAATGGTCATACATACATACATACATAGCATTCCATAGATCCATGAGTTAGTCAGATGACCTACCGGATGTGCAATTTGTCAAAAATCATACAATACATATATACATGCACAATTCAATTTCACATAATTAGTAAGGATTTCACAAATGTAAAATGATGTCTATAAAAAGAATTAATGAATCGGTTCACAGTTCTATGCAGTTGGCTCTTATACAGGACATCATTTTATGTGCATTGTGTACATCGTCTATATGGGAATGCAGTCTCTCACATGGGATTAAAGTTTCTTCAGTGTGTCATGTCAAAAGGTAATATTTATCTCAAAAATCAACAGCTGTTTCTCTGAAACGTTTTTTATGATGATTCCAACATCCTTTATCATCTTCAGCAGCGTCTAGCAAATGTGTCATTTTATGTAACAGGCAATGAAAGTTTGTTCTTCCAGGATTAGTGCATCTTTGTATAATATTACTGAGATTGTTGATTTTAAAACCAATAAGCTGAATAGTTTTAACAGTTGTGTTTATCCTACATCTATCAGCAGATATCTTTACATATTTGGGAGCATAAATGTGCTAAAATGCAGTGTTTATAACTAAAAAAACTAATCCTATGCTTTTATCTAACCTGTATTAGAAACCTGGCAGAAAATTGGTGAAACTAAGAATGGATGGTATGGATATAAATGGATTAAATTAGTTTGAGGTTCTTGCCAGTGGTGAATATTACAGTTTCAGCTTTCTGGCCTCATGATGCATTTTGTCTTTGTAGATGGGTACCAGAATTTCAGAAGAACTTAGTCTTTCCATTTTCAGAGAAGAAGACCATAACCTTAGTACATTTATTTGTTTCGTACATTTTAGTAACCTCATTTTTAAGACCTTTTAAGGGAATTTTGAAGTCCACTGTCATGTATGTATTTTATATTTGTTATAAAATAAATGACTGCCTTTATTACAGGCTTTCAAATTTTACCTTGAAATTTTGCATGAATTCAAATAACAAAATTTTGTGTCACTGTGTTTTAGAATTATAATGTGAAAATATTACACAACTGAAAACGCTTAAAATATGGTGATATATTTCTGTTAGACTGCAGTAATATAAAACCATCATAATTCTATTACACAGTGAATGTACACTTTCTCTGGCCTAGTGGTTAATAGTAAATGGAAGGTTCTAAGTCCGAAGTTCAGAATCATATACACTGCAAAATCTGAGACCACTAAGGCTGTATTAATTGAATTGCTTTACAGGTAGACTTCTATGGAACTGTGCAGCCTCACACGCTGATTCGTCAGCACCTTGACTACAGTCATTGGTATGATCGTAATAAACTGACACTTAAAGACATTCATAAGTGTCAGTATGTGGCCTGCATGAATCCAACAGCTGGTAGCTTCACAATCAATCCACGTCTTCAACGCCACTTCTGTGTATTTGCAGTCAGGTAGGAGCCACTGTACTGGTGGATATTATCTGAAAATTACAAATTATGTATCAAGTTCCATCAATTGAAATATATATATAGTAATGGAAACAGACTTTCAAAGTGGACTCAAATTCTTGAAGATCACTCTGACAGCCCATAAGGTACAACGAATGCCATTAAAGAGAAACCAAAAGGCCAGTGTGTTTCTTTGAGACATTTACAAAAATATGTTACAAAAAATTTTATGAATATAATAATTTATTACACGTTCCAGCACATCCATACAAGGCCGAAGCCAGTGGATACAAAACCTATCACACCACAAGCTTGCTGAATCGGCAAGTAGTCAACAGAACAATGCATATAAATCCACAACAATAAATCAAGCATATGAAACCCCTACACATCACTGCAACTACATAACCTACCATATGTATATATATATAAGATATAATACAACATTAGAACATACAGTATTTATCATATATTTCCATTTTCTTCAATGTGGTGTAAGAACTTTAAACACTTCCCATTTTGATCTTTATGCCATAATAATAAACAACTTGAAAAAAAAATAATCCTGTAATACTTTTGTGTTGGTGACAGCTTTCCTGGAACAGAGGGAGTTAACACCATTTACCACTCCATACTGTCGCAGCATATGTCCAACCCAGAGTACAGGTTTCCCATGTCAGTGCTGAAGCTGACACCCAACATTGTTGCAGCATCACTTGCTTTGCATCACAAAGTAACTCAAGTGTTCCTTCCCACTGCCATCAAGTTTCATTACATCTTCAATCTCAGAGACTTGTCCAATATTTTCCAGGTATTCTATCGTAAATCATTTAATTTTTTTTTTGCTTAACTGAGTTTAGTTCTCTTTCACAACCCAACACCCACTAGTTACTAGGTTGTTGCAATATACAGTCCTCGTATGTCTAAAAATTCTGTGTATTATTTCGAATTATACAAAAATTAATTTTAATGTACTTAACTTAATTTACAAAATTCCTGTATACTTAATCTCAGTTTCTAAATTTATAATCTCTGTCTCTCTCTCTCTTCATTTATATTTGGTCTTAAATAAGTTTTCTTATGTCCTTATGAAACTTTCATTTATTCAGATATTTATTTTTCTGTGTCCTAATTTCTCATTAATTACTATTCACCTATTACTAAACTGTGTCACTGTCACTTTCTTGTTTCGTTATGGTTTAATAAAATACGTCCTGTGTCTTCCTGCCCTTGACATAAGGATCAAATTCCTTTCCCCACACCTGAGAGAGAGCAGCAGTAGCATTATCAGAACATTGTGCATTGGCAATCAGGAAATATAACCTCACACTGTCTACTGGAATAGAGATGTCAGTGGGGAAGTAAAATGGAGGTAGACATACAGTGTATTATAACCTTACAGAGTGAAGAAGCAGGGATTGTGCACTCAAAGGAGAGTGACAGGGGACTAAAATGCATCCTGTATAATAATGATTGAAGTTCTCACGTGATAATGAAGATACACGGGGTTCAAATTGATAATTAGAATTATTGGGAACACTGTTAGCTCAACAGCTCTCTGTATACTGATTTGTTGTGGACAAATGGGAAAACACAGTTCCCAAAATTTCCTAGACTGTTATGCGCTTGTGTAGCAGTCTGAGATTGGTGCCATTACTTAGCAGTGAGTGCCTCTGCAATATTTCTCTGAATCCAGTATCGTGTGTGTACATGTGTACTTGTCTGCATAGACATATGAGTGACTCCTGCAGTTTGTTTGGGGTAGCTAAGTAATATGAGCATCCCCAAGAGATACTATCAACACCTGACAGGGCATTAATCCTTTAAAGAAGACCCAATAAGAAGAGTAGAAGCAGCTGTTATATGGTTCTTGAAACAGGTTGCAAACATAGTCTTTTAGACTGGAGTGCATAGCATGTGTGAAAGAGTTTCACTATATAAAGCAGGTTGGAAAGACCTTTCTTTTACAGATTTTGGCTAAGGAACTCATGTTTAAATGAAGAGGAGTTGGGAATATGCTCCCATACCACTAGATCTATTCCTGGTTGAAATCAACCAATTATAGACATGGCAAAATGTGCCACATTTCAATCTTATTTGCCTTCATTCCTTATAGAAATTTGCTAATCAAACACTTTGAACAAAATTGTTCTGATATTGCTCTTTTTTTTACCCACACCATATTCACTTCTAGTGGGGCACATGCTACAAACCAGAAGGTCACGTGTTCAGTTCCCAATCATGTCTTTGGAGTATTTGAATTGAAGTAGTCCTTCCAGCCTCACTATGGCCCTGGGGTTGACTCAGCCTCTAAGAGAAATGAGTACAAGGAATCTTCCTGGGGGTAAAGAGCAACTGACACATAAGGCCGACAACCCCTCCGGCATATGTGATCCAACTGTCTAGAAATGTGAGAATCTGGACTTCTTACAACTCTATGGGCCTCCACAACCTGTTACAGGGATAACTACCTTTACCTTTATATTCAGTACTAACTGTTTATAAACCATCATCTTCTGGTCTGAAGTACTCAGGATATTCATAAGTAGTGAGGAAAGTTACTGACACTCAAATTCAGCATGAGTGCATAGATTTTTTTCCCCCTAGATTTAGAGTACCAGCAGTGTCTGCAAGTGGTTTGCACTCCAAATTATCAAACATAGCTGCTGCAAATAATTATGATTCATATACAGAAAGATATTCCTTGTGCAAATTAAAATGTTTGTCAGTATGTGGTATTGCATTGTCTGACTTTTGTATCCCTTCAGTTATTACAGACAATTGAAAGCAGACTTTACAAGGTCTGTTGCAAGAAAATCTGTAATATGGAAATCTTCTTCCTCTGTAGGGGTTGCTGTTCAGCACTAATGATTGTCTGCCTCAGCCAACTGACTTTGTGAGACTCTGGACGCATGAATCACAGCGTGTTTATGGTGACAAGCTTGTAGACGAGAAAGACATTGAAACGTACAATAAAATACAAGTTGACATAGTGAAAAAGAACTTTGAGGTTAGTATATATGACGTGAAACACTTGTTGAAAAGCATTGTTCTTAACTTACATTAAGAACTTTGAGTTTGAGTTACATACTCTTTAAACTGTATCATTGGTTGCTCCCTGTTTTTGATACTTAATCCTTTGCCTTATTGTCAAGATACAGGCTAATACAGTTAAATATGTTTTCCTGCATTTAACATAGGAAAACAGTGTATAAAGAGAATTTTATTTAACTGACCTGGCAGCATCAACATGTAATGGAGAGTTCTATTTTCTGGGATGTAATGTTGTGTAGTCCATTAAATGTCAACCAGCTACACAGCATTACATCCCAGAAGATAGAAATCTTCATAACCACTGATGTGAGATCTTAAAATTCTACCAGATATAACAAATGCAAGTGTCAATGTAGAGAGTTAAAGGACAGAAAGAATCACAGGATGTATGAGTATATTGTTTAATTTTTCTTCATCTTTTGTATTTTCAAATTGTACATTTGATGCATTTATGAATTGTTTTAAAGGATACATTGACTGAAGTGGAAAGCCTTTTTAGAGACTTAATGCCATCTGTTTACATATTCCTGTTTTATCAATTATAGAACATAGTGATAATATTTCAGGAGATGGATGAGTCTTTATTGGCAGAGAAGCCCAATATATACTGCCATTTTGCACAGGGCATTGGTGAGCCCAAATACATGAAAGTGAAGGACTGGGAGTCTTTAGCAGTGCTTCTTCAGGATGCCCTTATGAGCTACAATGATCTGGTGGCTGCCATCAACCTGGTGCTGTTTGAAGATGCCATGATGCATGTCTGCAGGTAATAACAGCCTGGTGTTAATTCCATTTGCAAGAAAATAAGAAATAAATAATTCATTGATAAATATGTAAGTATAAGCTGGCACCAAGTCCAGCACAAATGCACATTTCCTCTTCAACAGGTTACACCGCATCATAGATTATTTGATAATATATCTCTCTTATAATACATTCCACCATAACAAATTGCCCACATATGTTTGCCTTGGACTTGTCATCTTTATTTCATAACCGTTTTTTTATCCCTGTTACAAATGAAAATACAATAACCTTATAGTAGATTCTAAAGGGTTCTGATGATGATGATGATGATGATGATGATGATGATGGATGACACACAGAATTACTGGGTTTTTGGACTTTTTCCATCCAGAATTCTAGGTAATAGAGGGCACTCTAGGTAATAGAGGCCTCAATCCAATGATTGAGATTAGCTCTTTCTAAGGGGCCCAACTGAGTAGGTCTCTTCCTTTCTCACCTGAAGGCGGAAACAGATCCAGTTTCCAAAACGTCATGTCCTCTGTTACCTAGAATTCTGGATGATGCAAAAGGTCCAGAAACCAAATAATTCTGTGAATCTGTTACTCTTATAGTAGTCGGCTTATTTGACATATCGCCAGTTTGTGATTGTTTTATAATACAGAATTAATCGCATCCTGGAGTCTCCCCGAGGAAGTGCACTACTGGTCGGTGTAGGTGGATCTGGAAAACAATCATTGGCAAGACTTGCCGCTTTCATATCCAGCCTTGAGGTGTCACAGATCCAGCTACGCAAAGGCTATGGAATTCCAGATTTGAAAGTATGTTACAAATATCTAAAGAGCACATTAATATTTAAAGAATGGCAATACAAACACAGTTTAATAAATTATAATTTACAAGATGCTGACAGTTTTATTTTACAATACTCTGTGTTGCAGAATGAACTGTCTGGTCTTTACCTGAAAGCAGGCTTAAAGAATGTTGGGATTGTGTTCCTGATGACAGATGCACAAGTACCAAATGAACACTTCCTGGTTCTTATTAATGATATGCTAGCATCTGGTGAAGTGCCTGATTTGTTTGGAGATGATGATGTTGAAAATATTATTGCAGGTGTCCGGAATGAGGCAAGTACTACTATCAGGGACGAATATGACCTCTTACACATTGCTTTAAAATATGTGTATAATTTTTTCTTAATTTTACAATCAGTATAATATGAAAAAAGGAATTTATAATATGCCAGTTCTTTAAACAGTCAGGTGTAGTAGTGAAACTTGTTTTAGTGAAGGCTACAGACATGTTCTAAATCACAGATACTGAAACTAAATTAATGTGATAATACTTCAAAATGCATCTAAAAGGACTATAAATAGAACCAAACCATTATGGAAGAGCTAAAGTGTGAATCAGAATGATACATATTTTAAGTTACAGAGACAAATATATTCATCATGATGACAGAATACTCTAGAAAGTCCTCCGTAATAATGATGGTAGATATGTTTACTTACTGAAACAAGAAGGAAATAATGACATTTGATTGATTGACATTTAGGTTGTTTCATGATACTGCTTGTACTGTAGAGTATCATAGACAACCTTGTGAAGGACTACTGGTTGAGACAATGGGTCAGCAAGTGGTCCATCTCATTGACTGATTTTTATGGAAATGAATTTCTTTTCTAGAAGTGAGTGTTGACTGCTAAGCTAAATGAAAAAGTGCAGTGTATGTAGAAGCAGTACATACTCCTGATATACATTTCAAGCGACTGGAAAACTGTCACTCTTTGTAATAGGTGAAAGGAGCTGGTATGTTAGACACACGGGAGAACTGCTGGAAGTTCTTCATAGACCGTGTCCGTCGCCAGTTGAAAGTAGTACTATGTTTTTCCCCTGTTGGCTCCACCTTGCGTGTACGTGCTCGAAAATTTCCTGCCATCATCAACTGCACAGCTATAAACTGGTTCCATGAATGGCCTCAAGAGGCTCTTGTATCTGTATCAAAGCGTTTTCTGGAAGAGTTGGATGTCTTACCTGTGAGTAAAGCAGTTGTATCTTTAGTTACTCATTTGACCCTAATAATAATAATAATATAATATTGTAAAACTGTCGTATAAATATAATTAATTTCCCACATCAATTTACATAGATTTGGGGGTCAAGCAATCTCTTGGTCAGAGGGTCTCAGGTTCCATATTCACCCATACTGTAGTGTAGATTTTCCTTTGTACTCATACATGACAAAGTTTTCACTTAATGCTTTGGAAATGCAAAGAATATCAAGATCCCACCCTAGTTAGGGCATCTGTTGAGTTTAAATTCCTGTTTCCTCTCTAGAGTAGAAGAATCCCACTAATTTGTGGTTTCTTCCACATCAGAAATGCAGGCTATCATTGCCAGGTGACTGAGAAATATACCCTATACAGTAATTGTCAGATTGTAAACTTTGTGATTGTATGAGCGAGTTTGGAATAAAATTCGCTATATCCAATAAGGCGCGAAGTTATTTGTCGCGTTATACACCCAAGACACATGACAATATATATCTTAACATGAAATAATACATAATTTCTTTGTCAAACAGTACTCTAGAATCTTGGCCTCCAATCTCTCTGAATACATTTTGAGGATCAGTGTATATTTATATGAAGGGATTGCCATATGTGGCAAGAAAAATATCTTCCCCCTTAATATATTATGTTTCTTCAGCCAATAAATTGTAAAACCTGTAACTTTGTAAGGTGAAATTTGGTTTAATGCAACAGCTACAATGTTATTTATTCATAGGAATGCTACCGTGATTCAGTGGCACGTTTCATGGGGCTTGTTCACATGTCTGTCAACTCCACCTCTCGGCTGTACCTTCAGAATGAGCGACGCTACAATTACACTACACCTAAATCATTTCTTGAACAAATAAGTCTCTATTCCAAATTGCTTCGTCAGAAGAGTTCTGAGCTCACAGGCAAGGTGTTGCGCTTGGAGAATGGATTGGATAAACTTCGCAGCACTGCAGAGCAGGTAAAATGCAGTGACATTTATTTGAACTGTATATTTGCAATTTTTATATTTCTTCCTTTTTGCTACATGAAACAGATTGTTATGAACATCTTATAGAATTTATCTTCATATTGCTTCATAACTTATTTGTTGTAACAGAATAATTAATAACAACAAATTTCAATATCTGCTCTCATTACCAGTGCATCATAACATAATTCCTTCATAGTAATTCTTGAAAGAAAATGAAGAAAATTATAAAATCGGGAATTTATGACTTTATACCTTTCACCTTGTACATTCAAGGAAATTAAATAGATGTAAGTTTTGAGGTTTTCACGGCGATGACAATGAAGAAAGTTGTCTTCTGGGTTTAGGCACCGTGTATTCTTCGTTTTGGCCGACGTTTCGGAGGAACGTAGCGCCTCCATCTTCAGAGCAGTTGAATAGCTGCGGAGAGCAGTAGCTGTGGTGATAGGATGTGGAAGGTGCTGCTTATATACGAAGTAGGCAGGGGGGGTGGTTAGGGAGAACGGACCAATGGGAGCAGTGGAGAGCGATTAAGGCCATATATGGTGTGTGACTAAGGGCGAGGGGGAACGGCCAGTGAGTACAGGAAACTTGAGGTCAATAGCACTAGGAAGTGCGGTAGTCAAAAA